TGTCCCTTCCTTGATCAGTAGTTCTGAGAACTTTCCTAAATTTGCTTTTAAGCTAGGACTTCTTACACAAAGCTTTTAGGCTAAGTTAGGAGCTCTCTGAGTATATTCAGAATGTTTGTGACTACAGCCCCAGGTCCAGACCATACTCTATTTACTTCTTTCAGCTTTGTTGCCCTCATTTTTAGCTGGATGTCTGTTCTATATATGTACATTGAAAACTATACAAAATATGATATGCATACATTGAAACAGTGTTTGCTTGGTGTAATCATTACTCTTGTTTGCCTACTGACCATTTAAAATGTGCTTTTTCATTGTAAGCAGTGGGGAACAATAGCAGCACACTTTCTGTGCAAAACACATTCCAGTTCTGTCACCTTAAAGACTTATATTAAACAACTCAGTCCCTTGATACTGAAAACAACTGGTGAAGGCAATTTACAAGTAACATTAGGTGAGTGTTAATTTAGCTCTGGGGAAGATGGCATTTCATTTACACAAAAAGGATTTGGTTAAGGTTAGAATGATTGTGGTCATGGTTAAATGAACTATTGTTGAGGGTGTGCAAGGTACTGTGTATCAGTGTCACACAACTACTAGAAATCCTGGTTAGTTAAAAGGACGATATCCAGTGGTGACTTTCAGCTTTTAAAAAAAAAATGCTGTTTGGTTGAAAAAAATAGGTTGTTGAAAGTTAAATCCATAGTATTAAAAATCAAAGTCCCTTCAGCTTTATTACTATGCAGTCAGTTTGGTGTAGTTGGCGCAATGTCGGATGATGAGGTGATGAGGGCACTGTGCTGGACCATTGTGGTGAAGAGGGAGCTGAGCAGGATGGCAAAGCTTTGGACTTACCAGTCCCTCTATGTCCCAACCCTCACCTATGGTCATGAGCTTTGGGGAGTGATCAAAAGAATGAGACTGCAGATACAAGGTGCCAAAAGGAGTTTCCTCCAGCAGTGGTTGGGCTTAGCCTTAGAGATAGGGTGAGACATCGGGACAGACATCAGGAGCTGGGAGTAGAGCCACTGCTCCTTCGCAACTTAAAGGGTCAATTGAGGTGGTTCGAGCTCTGATCAGGATGCCCCCTGGGGGCCTCCCATCAGAAGTATTCTGTGCATGTCCCACTGGTAGGAGGCCCCGGGTAGACCCAGAACATGCTGCAGGGATAACATATCTCATCTGGCTTGGGAACGTCTTGGGGTCCCCCAGGAGGAACTGGAAAGTGATGCCTTGGCCTGCTGCCCCTGCGACCCGGCTCCGAATAAGTGGATGAGTGAATGAAAATGGATGGATGGATTCCATTTAACTGACTCTTTCTTTGAAAGAACTATAGTTATACTATTCTACTATAAGATTATAAAGACAATATTTTTCCTTTACAAATGTAAATGTAATTATCATGTTACATTATATTATATTATATTATATTATATTATATTATATTGACAAAATGAATCAAGTTAAGTCACCTCAAGTCATTGTAGGGTCATTTTCAGTGAACTATATGAAAACGAATTGCTGCTTAAATGATAGATGACACATTTAAAAATACTCATGCTTAACAAAAACAGCCAGTATTAATGTCAAAGTATTTAGAATTTGTACTAAATTGGCAGCATGTCTGTGATAAAACCATTTAACATGACTCAGTGGTATCTATTTGTCAGCTTTGTTTGTAGATTTGTAGATTTGTAAATATGCACGATTATAGCCAGGCTAATTTCCATCTTTAGTCCCTGGGGGCAGGTTGATGTTAAGATAATAAAAGTACAGTAGTCAGACAGATAAACAATAAGCATAAAACAGTGTACTCTTGACAGAACCAGAATTTGGGGAGCCATAAAGTGCTTGAGTGCTAAATTGTTTAGGTGCCAAAGTGCTTGAGTGCTAAAGTGCTAGGTGCTGTAGTATCAAAACCTGCTGGTGTTATTGCATATTTTGACATATTTCTTACACACAGATAAGTGTGCAGATATTATTGCACTTGTTAAATGTACACAGATGTATTTGTGTACGCACTATTCACAGTATTCACCTACATAATTATATGTATTATATTGTACCTTTCCATTTAGGCTTTTGTACAATTTAATTCCATCAACTTGTACATTAACATTACCTAGTTTCTACTTTACATAAAACAGATTTGTTCATTCCTTCTGTAAACTGCTTATCAGGACTGTCTGATTTCTTACACTTAATGCCTTTTCACTGGTGTTAAATCATAATGGCTAATTCAAGCCATTTGTGTTGCACCACTTTCTTAAATGAAACGCAGACCCAAACACAACACAGCTGTAGTCCCAGCTAAAGGAAGAGTCCCCCAGAGTCTGGCAGTTGGAAGAGAAAGCAAATAAACACATTTCCCAAAGTTTTTGTGCCACGATTTTGGTATTTCTTGTTTAAACATTTCTTATTTTTTATTTCTATTGGCCAAAATCACAAATTTGCCTCATAGGGCTTTACAACCTGTAGCCTACAGCAAATGACACCTTCTGTCTTTGAACCCTTAAATCCAAGAAGGGAAGAAGTATAGTAAATAATGAATATGGAATATGGATTTAGATAAAAAGACTTTATTAGGACCTATGAGTATTCTGTTTTTACTTATTAAGCATCAGCATTTTTTGTTTTTGCTCTTCATTGCTTGCAGCCGTTAAAGGAAGCAGGTTGAATCAATAGCTTTGACAGTTTCTGGCCAGTAAACAGTTGACTCCCCCACTGTGGTTCCCCCACATCAGGATAACACACATTTTCCACAGATGCTCTCCATCTCTTATGTAAGATTGTTTGAAAGTGAAGTTGCAGGCTTTACTGGGTATCAGGTGGGGGCGGCAATGAGACACTCTCAAGCTGTTCCATTTCCTAAACATGACTTAAAAGGTTTTGTGAGTTATGAGATCACATCAAGAAGCCGACTGTACACTGTTACGCTATGGTTTATTTTAATCTCATTTTCAGTGAATTGTTTCAATCAGGGGTTGTTTTTTTGGGGGAGGGGGGGCTGAAAACATTGCAAAGCAGGATTCATATAGAAACTAGACAAACTGCAAGAAGGAAATTCTTGGAAGATTGCATTTTGTGAGACAAATGATGCACTGGATAATTTTGTTGATGAGTTTCATATTGCATTACTTTTTCGCAAGACTGTTTGATTGCAAAAGGAAGCCTACAGGGCTACAAGGGCCATATATCACCCCCTCTGATGGGTCTGTTGTGTCAGCACAGTCATTGCATGCTTGCGAGATAGGGTGTGGTAATTAGCTTTTATTTATGGAAATTATTTATTCAACTTGTTTTTGGAAAATGCACTGTTTAAGTCAAGTCAAGTCAAATTTATTTATATAGCACATTTCATACGGCAGGCGTAAACTCAATGTGCCTTAAAGCACAACGTTGAGTGCTTTAAGGCACATCATGCAACTAATCTTATTTTTTTCTGTGCATGTCAGTTGATATTATGCTGTGTTTACCTGGTGTATAACCTGAATAACTTAATGCTTAATCAGTTTGTAACAAACTCACTGACAACAGCAGACGTGGGGCACAGGAGAGCAGCCTGGTGTGATGTGTGGTCTGCTGTGTGCACTGTAGCCTACTTCATGTAGAGACAAGGAGTGAGAGCATCCGGAGTAAAGGGGCCCACAGCTGAATTTTGCCCAGGGCAACACAAGACAACCAACAGAGCTCCAAGGAGGCCATATCATATACAGTATGTTTCCACTGCAGGATCATTGTCAGGTCATTGCCATATTGTCCCTGACATTTAAAATCTTAGATCTTCAGTTCCCCCAGCAATGCTCATTAAATAGATAGATAGATAGATAGATAGATAGATAGATAGATAGATAGATAGATAGTCAAAATAAAGGAAAATATGATTCTTTATAACACTATCTACAAAATCTAAGATATAGTCTAATAATAAAAAAAAATGTGGTAGACAGGTGAAGAATAAATAGATAAATACACTGATTGTAAACAGGAGTGTAGTAAATGTATGCATAATGTGAAGTAATACATATATACAGTATATACATAGATGTAAACAGGTGTAAAACACGAGTTAAAGAAGCTATAGATAAAGTTACCATAAAACACCACTGCAACGACACACAACAGCTGTCACAGAATGCCCCAAAGGCCATATTGTTTAATGTCATGCAGAACATGTTTTGAATTATCATCAGTATGATAATAACAGTAATTACAGAAATGTGTTGCTGCCACAGCAAAAAAAGTTTTCTACTTTTTTATCTCGTTATAACGTGAAACATTTCACATGATAACGTGACATGTTATTGTGTGATAAGTGATCATGTTAGACAAATACATTGCAAATGTTATTACATGAAACGCTTCACGTTATTACATGATAAGTAATCTTGTTATAATGTGAAACAATTCACATTATCACGTTTTAACAAGATCAATAGTATATTGTATGTATTTTACTGTAAATTGTTTTTTGATGTGTTTTTAACCTATTCTGTAAAGTGACTTTGAGAACTTTGGAAAGCGCTTTATAAATAAAATGTATTATTATTATTATTATTATTATTATTATTATTATTATTGTTGTTGTTATTGTTATAACAAGACAATTTTAATCTCGCAAGAAATGTTTCTTGCAATTAAAGTGAAAATAATGTATAAAAATGTAAAAAAAAAAAAAAATGTTGTTTTACCAAGAAACTTTTCATGTTGTTATCTGGTACTGAAGCCGCTTTTGTAAATAATCAAAGTAATATGATGCAATGTAAAGCATTTAAATTAATGACTACACTGAACAAATGGACAATCCATTGCCAATCGGAATCAATGCCTTTATTTTGATATTATTCAAATCTAACTATATATAGATATTACAATGCAAGACAACCGCAGAAACAGCTATTCCAATAAGTGTTCGCGGTAGCGCCGCTCATTACCTCTCCGGGCTTCCGTAGTATTGTTTTCTTCACCCGGAAAAACTTTTTGGTCCTTGTAACGTCATTAGGTGCCATAAAGATGGCGGAGTCGGAGGAGGAGGTGGACGTCTTGGTCCAGAGAGTTGTCAAAGACATCACCAACGCTTTCAAGAGAAACCCCAACATGTAAGTATGGTTAACTGTGAACATACCAGACAGAGCGGAGCGGGCTCTGTGTAATCCGGTGGATCGTATACCAAACAACAGCTTAAGCCAGCTTTTAAACTGTGCGGGCTCGGACTATTACCTGGAATCAGAGCGGTCCAGGGAAAGTTGATAGTGTAGCCAGTTAGCTCAGCTGTTTGTTAGTTCTCTTTCATAACTCATAATGAAGGGGTTTATAGAAACACCCTCGAGAATAGTATTCCTTGTTAAATAGTTAAATGTAGTCACCGGTGTGTCATTTCTTTAAACTAGTTAGCTCGCCCTTTGACGGCTGTCAAAACTATACCACATTCTGCACGGGCCAACACCGTTAGCTCATCAATGGTGTGATTAATTGACCCGAGGTTAGCAATTAATAAGTGTCTTATGTGTTTTTATTTGGAATTTCAATAGCGTCTTCTTTCCGATGCTCCCGTGTGTGTATGTATGGCTGTTGGAGTCTCAGAAGAGGTACATCGGCGTCAGGCTGGCAGAGTTAGCAAATGCTAACTTAGCTTCCCATCTATTTATAATGTAAATAAGAAAATGAAGCAGCTGATGTCAAAAGTCCCTCGGCATCAATATTATGAAACATAATTATACTCAGATCAAGTGGAGCATGCCTTTAGTCTGTCAATGCCTAGGCTACATATAGCAAGGAATAGAATAGAATCCGGTTTAGTGCCAACATTTTTCAAATACAAGGAATTTGCCTTGGTGTGTTGGTGCATAAACATAACAAGGGGTGTTAAACTCATTTTAGTTCCTGGGCCACATACAGCCCAATATGAAATCAAGTGGGCTGGACCAGTAGAATCATTGCATAATAACCTATAAATAACAGCACCTCCAAAACATTCATCCATTTACAAAAGAGATGATGAACAGCCTGAGATTTCTTAAGACAAATAAGTGCAATTACAACAGTAGGACTGTTTTTCTACATTCAATCAGACTACTATTCTCTGCCATCACATGTGCATTTTTCTATACATCTCCACTCCTGTGTGGTATAACTGGCATCACCACACCACTCTGAAGTGGAAGCTATTGAGGAAGCAGGTTATGTTATCTGTGTCTCAATTTGCCTTACAAATCAAAGGTTTTGGCAGGACTTCAGCGATATGGTTCCACTAGTACTGTTTTAAGAAAGAAGTCTGATACAGATTTGTTGGTAATTGAGCTGCTGATTGACAATATTTTGCAGAATTTTCAGTATCTTTAAATATGATCATAAGAAGTATTTTTAGTTTTGTTAAAGAACTGTATTGTCAGAGTAAACAGCTTCTGAATCAGCATTTTACAAAAAATAGGCCAGTCACTGTTTAACTTGCTTCTGAAACCTGGCACCTTTTAACAATTGCAGCAATATAAGGTGTGCAAATTAATCAAGAGCAAGATTGGACCCTTTGGGCCATTTGTATGACACCCCAGGAGGCATACATATAGAACAGAGGAAATGACAATCAAGATATGAAAAAAATACGATAAAGATATGTGCAATGTGTCTGTTTTAAATGAAGGAGCTGTGCATTTTCTTAAGTATTGTGCAGGAATGTGGAAAATATTGTCCAGTCCAAGTGATGTGCAGAACAAAACAGCATGAGGTATGAAAGACATAATCGTACAGAGATAACAGTCCGAAAGATGTGTGTTAATGTAACACACAGAGACAGATGTGAAGATGTTAAAGGTATACTGTGCAGGATGTTCTGCTCTCTGTCTTGTTGAGCTGGGAAGAGGGGCCAAATTTTTAATGTAAGCTAACCTGTAATGTCCATATGTGGGGTACAGGTTAGGGTCTGTAGCCCTCTTTACACAAAGATTACGCTATAGGGTCCCTTCTTCATGCTTCCTTTGCATTTTTACACAGAACTAAACACTGGCAGCATGACTCCGCTCCAGTGTGTGATTTTAGACATCATGTTGGCAAAAACAAAAGAGGCATGATTTAAACAATAGCATCGGCCTCTAGTGTGACATATCACATGAGCATTAGCAGCACTCAATAAACAATAACAATGGCATTACATGGCAGAAACAACCATTTCTGCTCTGTGGCAGCTGATCTCGTCTTCTGCTTGGAGGGTAAGGAGCTGCTGGACCTCATTGTTTTTCCAATTTGCAGACATTTTCAGCTGCTGTTCTTCTTCTTTGAGTTTGTTACTTTTTAAATCTCCCACAGGGGGTTGCATGCATTACCCCTCGTTAGAATGTCATACCTTCACTGCCCATGATCCTATCCTGCTGGCTTTCCCTTTCATACAGACATTGTTTTGGCACTCTTACTTCCTCCGATGCCGCCTTAAAGGCAAGAAAACTCTGTCTCCCCCATTCCGCCATTGTACCTTTTTTACAGAACAGGGAGGCAGCATAACAGCGTGAAATTCCCGCCTTGAAGACGCAGTGTAAAAGGGACTTATGTCAGGGGTTATCTCAGGCCTTGTTGATGAGAACAGCTGCATTGAGGAAGAAATGTTTTTTGTGGTGTGAGGTTTTGGTCCTGATGGACTGCAGCCTCCTGCCAGACAGCAGTGACTCAGAAAGTTTGTGTCCGGTGTGGGAAGGGTCGGCTATAATCTTTTTCACATTATTACGTACCATACAGTTTATATTAAACAACTGCACTATGGACTGTGGCTATGGCTGTGAAAATGGTCTTCCTAAATTTTTTCAAATGTAGAAAATCTTACACATAAACTTACTTTAGAACCTCTTAGGGGCCGTTCAGATGTAGCGTCTTTTGCGTGCACAAATCCATTAGTTTCAAAACGCACGTCAAGCGCGCTCACAATCCAAAGCGACGCCGTGGCAGCGTGCATTCGATGCGACGCGCCTGTTTTTTCGTGCGCGTCCACGGCGCACAGAGATGGAAAAATCTCAACTTTTTCGAATGCAGCAAGCGCTCTGCATGTCATGTGATAAGAATTAACCAATCAGCTCCACGGACCTGCTTCTTCCTTTCCGTCCAACGGACTTCACATTATGTATCTAATAACACACACTATCTCTCTTCCAGCATCTCCCTCTCTCCCTCTCCTCCACACACACACACACACACACACACATGCACACACCTCACCTCCTGATGCTTGCTGGAAATCCATTTAACTTTTTTGTAAACTTTGTAACTTTTTTAACTCCCCCTGTGAGTGACAGGAGGTTTTGGTTGCTTAGTAACGGCAGGTGCGACAGTAGCGCAACCTCCGAAGCGCCGTGGATAAAAGGATGGAAACGGCACAGTTGGTGTTTTCCACACGCTTTTAGACACTTTTTGTATTTGCTTGTTCCAACACTTTTTTAAAGTAGTCATACAAGGACACTGTCAAATAATATTCTGTTTTGGAACAATGCTTGTCCATACAACACATATTTGTGGTATTGAGTTTGAACACTAAGTCTCAGTGGTTGAGGCTAGTTAGCATGTTGGTATTCAAAACCTGGTGCAAAGCACATACCTGAAATCCTTCTGACCCTCTCAAAAGATGGATCTTGTGTAAATCTGTGCTGAGTGAAAAACACACACCAGCCACATGATAATGTGAAATGTGACACTTTAATGGACTCAGATTAACCTGATATGTCTTCTCTCAGTAGCCATTACCCTCATGATGCTGCAATACAGCATGCATCATCCTCTTTCTCTGGTCATTACTTAGGACAGAAAAAATCCACTTGCAGGCTGTATCGAAACAGCTCAACCTATCCAAGTGTTTGGTGTGTCAGACTTACTAAATTCCTAAAAGAGTGATCAGATGTTGAATCTTTCTAAAATCTCTTACTCTTTTCAAAACTACTTAGATCAAAGATACATTGTCTAAATTTTACATGTCATGCAATGATACTAGCATACAGCAGCCCACACAGAAAACTGGACATGATCCCACACCACCACTCACTCTAAAAATAAACAGATCAAGTCCCACTACATTTGTTCTGTGACATGCACAATGCTAGAAATAGTTTTTGTGTTTTGTTAAAATCAGGAGAAGAGAAATTCCACATCTTTCTTGGCACGTTGTATTATGTGCGACACCCTTTACTCGTTCCTGGTTTAAGGCCCCACGTACAGTGACTTGGACTGTCCTACAAGAATGAGCCGTGGTGACATATTCAATTGATAATCTAAAACAGTGGTGCTGGATAGCCTATTTAGAAATTTGGCGAATAAATACACCAAATCCTGCCTACACAAAATGCTAACACTGATGTGACATTTAGGACCAAATTCTTACAATGTCACCTTTCAGGATATACCTTAGAATGTGCCACAAGGGAAGCCACACATTGTGTTGTCAGAAAGATTCTTTCATGTTCATATACAACAAGTTTTAAGCTCCCTCAGCCCTCACTGTCAGTGTTTGCTCCCTCAGTGATGAGATTGGCGTGATCCCGTGTCCAGAGGCACGCTACAACCGCAGTCCCATTTTGTTGGTGGAGAACAAGCTGGGTGTTGAGAGCTGGTGTGTCAAGTTCCTGCTGCCGTATGTCCACAACAAGCTGCTGCTCTACCGCCAGCGCAAACACTGGCTGGAGAGGGAAGGTAACTGACCTCAACATCAAGCTCAACAAAACCATTCCTGAAGGGAGACATGTCCCTTTTCTGAGAAAGTTTGCTTTTGTTACATGGATGTCTTTTACAGATTCTAGACCAGAACATATTTGTCCAAGTGTACTGGAACCAGCGTTTTATTTTCTGCAGCATGAGTAAGATGCGCAGGGATTTCAAACAGGGATAGGATGTGACAACTACCTACCTGCTTACATAAGCTTCCATCCCATCTCTACCTGTAGTTAATATTCGCTAAATTAAATTGTGTGTTTGTACTAGTACTGTAGAAGTTTACCACTATTGATGCACAGAGTGTGCTTGTTACGTACAGGGGCCTCAGATGCCTGACAGTATCTAAACAGTGAAATTGATTTGAACGATGCTTTATCATATTGCCCTGCTTTTTGTAGTGCTGTTTCATTTGTGTCTTGTTTCATCTACCAAGATGAAATCCAGTTTTATTTTACATATTATTTTAAAGTTTAATTTAAGTTTTATAGAATTTTAAGTCACTACTGAATATTGTATCCTGGTGAAATGTTTTCCTTATCAAGGACCCTTAAAGCTCATTTATATCCTCCTTATACAACCAAAAATTGGAACATCCATTTCAAACCTCATTGCTCTGTGTTTCCTTTAGCTTTAGCGGACATCACCTGCACTGTGTTGCTGCTTAACCCGGACTTCACCACCGCCTGGAATGTCAGGTACAGATACACCATCACAGCAGCAGATTTATAACACATCTACAGAAATATTTGTTCTTATGAATGTCAGCTGTTCGTCTATGCCCTTGAAAGTGTCAAACATCCTCAGTGTTTCCCCTACATTCACCTAGCATCAGCATTATACCGCTGCTGCTGATTTTATTTTAGTTTTTAACTAGAGGAGGGGAGAGGACTCTGTTTTATCCCTTTAGGAGCTAACAACATGCTATTTTGCACTACATATGCTTCATTTATTAATTTTCTGTCACCGCTTAACCTTGTACAAGGTTACAAGGGTGCTGGAGCCTATCCCAGCTGACATTGGGCGAGAGGTGGGATACATCCTGGACAGGTCACCGGACTATCACAGGGCTGACACATAGAGACAGACAACCATTTAGTTGCATCAACCATGCAATTTAGTCACCAATTAAGCTAACCTGCATGTCTTTAGACTGTGGGAGGAAGCCAGAGAAAACCCATGCTGCCACGAGGAGAACAAGCAAACTCCACACAGTCAAACCTGGAACCCTCTTGCTGTGAGGCCACAGTGCTAACCACTGTACCACCATGCTGCCCACCTACACTTCATATCCATGTCACGTTCACACACATAAAGAGAAACTTTCTTACCTGATAATGTCAGCACAGTGATTCTAACAATAAGCACCAGATAGATGTCAACAATAAAGCAAGCAATGCTGATAATAGATTAGGGATTATGATTTTCTGAAGGCAAAACTGTCCCTCACGTTATTATCACACAGTACACATTACAGCAAACGCAAACATTTGATAAGAATATGCAGGAAACATATCAGTGAAATCAACGTTTGGAAGATCCATCTTGATACAAAGATAGCAGGCATTCAGTATGCACCAATGGTTTAATTCTACCTGGAGGCAGGCCTTACTATGTGCTAGGGCCACCGTGATGCATAAATGCTGTCAATCTCAGAGATAACTGACAGATTCTTTAACAGAGATATTTATGTCACACATTATTTAGATAGGATTCCCTTGAAGAAACATCATAATTGTAAATTGTTTTATCATTGAGAGTGTCACCACATTTAGGGAAATGAATGCTGTTTGATAACACAACAGTGTGCTGATGTGCGTTAGCAGGTTAATTCTGGAAAAGGGGGCAGCTAAGAATGAATAATTACAAGAATGAATGACTGCTGGCTAGCTACTAGCTTACACTCAGTGGATGTCAACAGTCACCTAGTAGGTGATATGGCTCACACGTAAACTAATAGCTTGTTTGTCAAATCACTTTTAAATTTTCAGATGAGTTTGAAAGACTGGCAGATCAAAAAAGGAAAGAGAAGAGATTCCAGTAGTGATAAACAAAAAATTTAGGGATGCACCGAAATGAAAATTTGTGGCCGAAGCCGAATAATATTAAGCGCTTGGTCGAATACCGAGTACTGAATACCGAATATCGTTGTTTAGTTTTTCATTAGTTTTTGCAGATGAACCCCCTCCAGATTAGTGTTGTCACCGTACCAAAATTGGATCCCACTGTACGATACCAATGAAAATATTATGGTTCTGAGTAGTATCATGATACCACAGCGAAAATGAGGCAGATGTGCCTTTTATCATTTATAAAAAGATAAATCACTTTTCTATAATACATCAATGATATTTCAATGGAATAAATTACTTATTGACTTATTCATACTTCAAAAACAGCATCAATAAGTGATTAACATAGGGGGGATCAAAATAAAATAAATAAATAAAATAAGAATCAACCAGCCACCCTCCTCCCCTGACAAGTAAAGAACAGTCCCTAAAGTGCGGTGAGGTTTGTGGGCCGTGAACGGCTCGTTTCTCCTCTGACACGTCACATACCTGTGTTCGGCTGGCTCGGCTGTTCAGGTACTTCTGGGCAGTCCACACGCCAAGAAGAGGATATTATTGGAGCCGACTTCTCCGTCGCCCGGTAAGCCGATGGCCGCCATAATTGACAGGGATACATTACTGTCTGTGTCTGTGACCCCCGTTCAACCCACAACCGATGGGATTCGCCTTTCGTTTCTGCTGCTGGTTGAAATCTGTAGGCTGCTCACACAGAGTGCTGAATGATTTAAGCCTATTTTGCTGCTCAAAACTATTTTAAGTCGCAAATGCGAGTCCGGTGACGGGCGGATTGCCACACTGCCGACATTTTACTCCGCCCGTCAAGGCACGCTGTTTGATTGCGTTATCAAAACACGCCGCTATTATTCGGCCTTGCTTTTAACTTAATCCACCGAATACCAAATGTGTGTTTTTTTGCAATATTCGGCCGAATATATTCGGTTACCGAATATTCGGTGCATCCCTAAAAAAACTTTTAGGAAACACTGGAATCCCCACACAAAAGAAGGCACAGCACTCAAAGACGAACATAGTGAGAGACTAGTGCTTCACTAAAGTGATGCCTCCATGGAAATACATATGATCGCAACTCAACATGCCACAGTGGGGCTAAAGCATGTGAAAGACAGCCATAGTCTGCTCTGTAGTTCTGTTGTATTGCATGTATGTGCATCTTGCACAATGCATCCATTGTTGTTGCAGGAAGGAGCTATTGCAGTGTGGAGTTCTTAACCCAGAGAAGGACCTCTACCTGGGCAAACTCGCCCTCACCAAATTTCCCAAGAGCCCAGAGACGTGGATACACCGGTGAGAGCACCCCTTTCTTCTCTAAACACTTGTCATATTTACTTGTACATATTACAGTGAGAGGAATGTTGTGGTTAATATAACTGTTAGCTAAGCAGAGTTATTTATGTCAGTGAGTAAAAATGCTTCAGTCACATATTCATTCAGCTTCCAGTTGTTTCAACCAAGTCCGTTTTGAAGAAATAGGTTCAGGAATTATACTAGTCCCCTTTGTGCCCGTTTGCAGTTACACAGCATCATAAGAGGTAAATTCGTTTTATTGTAGATTTTACAAATCACAGTGGTGCTTGAGATGAAGACTCTGTGTGAATGGATGCTAAGGAGTCATGCAGAGGTGGAGCAGACTGAAAACTGGATAATTCACTGAGTAGCTAGCGGTAGGGCTGAACGGGAAGTTGAGGATAGAACTTTGTATTAAATATATTTAATTATATTATATTTGTTAGTATTTAATAATAAGAAATGTCCACCGCTCCCTCTATTGTTCATTCTAGCTTTACCCTGCACTTTCTTATTTAACAAAGGAATCCCAGGTTTTTTGTTTGACCAATCAGCAACATTCATCCTTGCTAACTCTGCCATAATAGTCTCTGGAGCATCAAAAAGTATTAAAGCCAGAGTAGAGACTATTCTGGGTCCACAAACCATGGCCGAAGATCTAAATTTAGATGGTGGAACCTTCAGTTGAAATGCAGGGAAGGTTCCTGAGTCCCTGAAAAGGTTCTGCAATTCTGTGAAAAAAAGAAAAAAGATAGGACAAAACCTGATTAGATTTAAGTGGCAGCTTGATGCTCAGCCTTACTCTGCTTAGCCTCTATGATAGTTAGTGTGACCTCCTAGTCTTTTTAAATCTCAGGTAACAGAATAGTCTTTATTCATCCATTATTTCTTTAATTAACTAGCTGAGGTGCTGTTAGACGTCGCTTTGAGGACTGCACATTCCAACTTTAGTTTGATAGCTGCAATATGATATAAAAATACAAATTGAAGTTCCCTTCTGACTGCTAAGAGTGACTCCAGCAGCAACAGTGGCAGAGTGGAGATGCTGTGATTGTCTTAAGCAGTAACAGAACACCAGATTGATAGAGTTAGCTCACCCAGCAGTTGTTGTCTTTCTGCAGACGCTGGGTGCTGCAGCAGATCCTGCGTCAGTTCTCTGCTGTGGGCCGCAGCGGGAAGCATCAGCAGGATGAAGCCGAGCAGGCTGACGCAGAGAGGAGCCAGCAGCTCAGTGATCATCTCTCCAGAACGCTCCATCAAGAGATGAAAGTATGCTCTGATGCTGCCTGCCGCTATCCCAGCAACTACAATGCCTGGTCCCACCGCATCTGGGTATTGCAGCACATGGCCAAGGGCAACGTCAAGGTAGGATGAAATGTTGTTGTTGTTTTTTCTTTTTCTTTTTAAAGTCTCATAAAGTTTATTGTCAGATTTCTTGAAGTACCATCAGTGCATTTTCATACACAAAACAACATATACCCTGGCTGTTCTCTAATCAACACGTGTACAGGCTTATAGTGGCCATTTCAACTTACCCAAGTTCCAAGGCCACTTGGTCTGCAAGATGTCTCAGTTTTGACTTGTGTTCCTGTTCCTTTTGTGAAGATCCACAGCACTCACACAAGGCAGGGAAAAAGTTGAATGAGGTTTATTGAGCATACAAAAGAGAAAACAAAATTGCTTGTCAGGTCCTTCCAAAATTACATTACAACTACTAATTCTTTATATTCTCACCATATCATCCATTTTTACACACTTTAAAGCCTCAGTGTGTAAAAATGGTGAGTGACTGTGACATCAGCGGTCAAATTCTAGATTGCAGCGCTCACTCACTGACCCCTCCCGTCAGGTAAGTGACGGAGTTTTTCAGGAGTATCTAGCGACGAGGTGATGTAAATATTTATTTAGGAATCTAAACCATGTTAAGATATGTTATAGCTTACCAGTGAGATATACAGTGGTGTGAAAAAGTGTTTGCCCCCTTCCTGATTTCTTACTTTTTTGCATGTTTTCCACACTTAAATGTTTCAGATCATCAAACAAATTTAAACATTAGTCAAAGATAACACAAGTAAACACAAAATGCAGTTTTTAAATGAAGGGTTTTATTAATGAGGAAGAAAAAAATCCAAAGCTACATGGCCCTGTGTGAAAAAGTGTTTGCCCCCCAGCTCCTGTTAAAACATAACTGTGGTTGATCACACCTGAGTTCAATTTCTGTAGCCACACCCAGGCCTGATTACTGCACACCTGTTCCCAATCTAGAAATCACTTAAATAGGACCTACCTGACAAAGTGAAGTAGACCAAAAGATCCTCA